AATCGAATTTTGGACGAGTAGTTTATGAGTTATAAGTATTTTAAGTTTAGACAAGCGGAGTAGTGGACAAACATTTTGCGGGGTAACCCCGTAACACTCCACTCCGCCAATCTAAACTTTAAATATTGAATGATTAATTAATTAATTAATTAATTCAATGACTCATGACTCATGTGACTCACGTATTAGTTATTTTTGGACGATTTTAAACAGATCAATGGGTAAACAAAATGCATAATATTAAAATATTGTGCCAAATGCTTGGATGACGAGAAAAGTTTGAGGAATTTGGGTTGAGTATAAAATAAAATAATAAAAAATAATAAAAAAAAAAACATTTATAACATGTAAGTATATAACGGTAAAAAATGTTGACATAAATATAATAAAAATGGTTGTTTTACAATAATATTTTTAATATCAATATTAAAAAGCAAAATATAAAAAGTATAAACTCCTCGCGTACGCATAATGTATATGTACACATATTGTGAGYGCGACGATCGTCTGGAGTCCGTGAATTCGTGAATATCACATGTCGTGTGTGTATACAGGAGTATTCTCCTTTTGAATTGTAAAAACACACAAACACATTATTTGTCATCATCGACGTATTCAGATAATAAACATAAATATGTCATATCTGAGCGTGATAATAATTATAATATAATAATATATAGGAGGTTGTACAACATACGTAGGAACCGGAAATGGGAAATACGATTTCGTTCGTTATTGCATTTTTCTTTTCACGACACTATAATATATAATACAATATAACGCAGTCGTATCCTGTCTTCTCCGAGAAATAATAAAATAATATTAATATTATTATTATTGATGATGACATAGGGAGGAAACGAACAGGATATAATAATAATAATAATAATAATAATAATAATAATAATAATGATTATGATAATAATAATCAACAGTAGTAGGTACCCGTTGGTAACTCAACGACGAAAAGACGAGGGGGAAGCGCAAATCGATGTACGAACAATAATTATTACATTATTAATTCCGTTGAAAGTGCAGTCGATTTTGCATACGCGGAGCGGCTACTAAATTTACAGGACGCCTAAAAACAAAAATAATAATAATAATAATGATAAATTGCATAGAACATAAAATATGATTTAAAAATAAAAAATGCGTTGAAGGGATGGAAATGTTTTTAGTGGCTTGTAGTGCGGGTACGCAAGATTTTATTTCGGGTACGCCTTGTAGGTCGCTTGGAGCAGATAATATACGATGTTGATCATGATCACTTAGGGCTCGGATTTCAATGAATGTACCTCTATACCTGTTCCGGAATTACTTGACTGAATGATGCGTTTCAAGTGCATCCGCTGAATTATGTTAAGTCATTTTTAACATATGTAGTTCTAGGAATAAACTACAAAATAAAAATCACATATTCCAAGTATTAAAATATGCATTTTTTATTTTTTAYGGTATAACACGAAGTTATTTGATTTCAAAACTACACGAGTGTCGGGTTCGTCTAATAATCGATTTCGTATAAAGATGTTAATTTTAAAAATACAGGTCAACCGATTTTTGTGAATATTAATTGAATAGTCAACAATTCTATGGTTAAATCAAAATACAATTACTTTAAGAATAAAATAAGTTTTATGTCGTAAATGCATTTTTGAATTATTGMGACATTTTTAGGGACTACTAATATACACCTTTCAAAAGTAAATATACTTCAAATTATATTAAAAAAATAACTCAATATGACAAAAATAAAAAATAGGGAAATATTATTTTAACAGTCGATTGATTAGACAATGAATAAAAGCGCACCATTAAATGTACCGCAAATACTGTAGGCACCTACACCATCGTTTTAGGCTATGCGTAGCGCGAGTGTGCGACCCAAGGCGAATGCAATTATAACCCATATTATATTATGTAGCGTGCAAAAAGCAAATAACAGTGTTAATTTTTGAATAATAAATATTATTCTTACTATTGTTATTATAATGACTGATGACGTTTGAAAATGGGAATTAGGCTGTTAGTAAGAAAGAAAGGTGAAATGGAAAGAACAATGAAGATACCACAATACTTCTATTAACGACGATAACGGTAAAACGAAATCCTGCAAAAGGAAGACCTTATTTGTAACTGCTACTATAAGGACTTATTATTGTACTATTTTTTTAACCTTTTTCTCGGCATAGCAAAACATAATTACTATCGATTGTAACCCCACTTTTTGGGTTTGGAATTTTTTTTCTTAACAAAACGTTGGCAGATCAAGTTAGACGATGAAAAATAGGTTAAAACTTCTATTTTTCTTTTATATAATAAGTTTATTGTACCAGAAAAAAACAGAATCAAATGCAAGGTCTGCATTTTAAATATTATGTTTTGCTACCGTTATCGTCGAAAACACTGTATTCAGACCTAGGTTACTGTAGCAAGTATAGGCCAGGAGGCCCAACCCGAAAAATCGCAACAAGTCTTTTTGTTTTTTTTTTTATCGATTATTTTTAATAACAATATTGTATAATTAATTCAATTAATTTTTTAAATAATATTACGTTATATTCACAATAATCGGTGAATAAAAAAGCCTTTCTTTGTTTTCTGTGCTTGATTAATACATAACACTACAATTTTTTTTTATAATAATATAATGCGCATAACGTACAATGTTTCTTTTTTCGTTTATTGCTACAATCCGACACGTTTGTCTAAGGTACATCATTTTTTTTTTCAAGTTTCTTGTATATATAATATCCAAAGATAACAATATTATTTAATCAAATTTAAATCGATGTTATAGTAAATGGTTAATATTTAATGAGCGTTATTAGTATTACATTTACATAATATTAAAGCCAATAATCGTTTTGAGTCGGAGCTAAAACACATGGTCATTCGCCACTGTAACTTAGATTCTAAGTCTTAGAACGTATAGATGAACTGTAAGACAATGCACAGGAACCACTAACACATCATTATTGTTATTATGAATATTGGTATAAATGGTACAATAAATACAACGACGGTGAGTAGCCTAATATCAATTAACATAGGTTTATACTTCTAAATAAAAATGGCACTGTAAAAATCGATCTCTGCCACTGAATTTAGGTTATACTTAAATTTAGGGTTACTTGCAAGGTAACGGTACAGCGTGTCGTGAGTAAATTTACACAGAATTAATTACAGTGTAACAAGTATAAATTAATCACAATTGTTTGGACTTGTTATAATACGAGAGTTGACAGCAGTATTTTAAAAAATGTACTCAAACATTATGACATTATGATTATTGTAAAAAAATATTGTGATGATAAAATTCGGTTAGGGTAGGCAAGGAGTTGGTAATTATCTCGGTATGAGTATGATGTTATAGATGCCACTTAATTGCCCGAGGGTTGAAGTGGATGACTGTGGTTTTAGCTCACACTCACAAAAATTGCTTATGATTATTTGAATATTAAAAAGCAATCAAATTACTAGGAACACAAAAAAACTAGTTAGTCATGTCGTATTTCATCAAAAAAGTAATTGACTTAACAATACAATTATATCAGAATATATTATAACCTAAATATTCCTATTCTGTAACATACACTTAATGATTATCTTATTATATAAAAATTTCAAAGTCTTTTTTCCTTGTCTAATACAATTGGAATGACTTAACAATTTTTTTCAATAACAATGACATAAAATATTATGTTTAATATAAATTTGTTTTAATTGTATATTTTAAACAGCATTCAACTATTGCTTTTCATAAAATAATATAATTTTATATCGTGAAGTAATCACACTATGGATTCAGTAGTGCAAAGCCAAATATAGCAAATTAGGTAGGCTATACTTAAGTTAATTATAATATATTCTCTTTATTTTAACAGAAAAAGTTTATATTAATAAGATTATTAATTTGCCACGTCTAAGAGTAATTTATCAACAAACAAATGTAAAATATATCATTTCATTGAATAAAATTGTTTTTCTCTATGTTAATATCCATTTGTTATTACTTTATGATTACACTAGTCTCTGTATTTGACTTCAGGAACTCTGGTAACTAAATAATTAACAATACATTAATTTTAAATAGCTTCATTCTTGTATACAGACAATAAAAATATAACCTTTTCGACTTTATAAAAATAAATGCCGCTCAATAATTAAAATAACTGATTACATAATACATATTATATACTTAAAATGTGATTGTTTATAGGGATTCATGTTAGAAAAAAAAAACAGAAAACCCCTAATTGCACTTAAAATTAAATAGATACATTTAATCAATGGAATGATTATAAATAATAATAATAATAATAACAATAACAGGACCTCTTTGTCTTAATATATTATTTAATAATGAGGCCTTTGGTAATAATATTATAATAATATTAATATTATTATTTTATGTACATAACAAAAGAAAAAATTGAGTTTATGTGTAAACTTTCAATTACTAAGAATCACATTTCATACATACATCACATCTAGACTATATTTAAACATTTTAAATTAATTAGCCTAAGAGAGGGTGGATAATAAAATCTATAATAAATTATTAATTTTAATTTTTGAATTAAAAATATTTTGTCTTGTTTTTTGGCATTCGCCTGCTTCTTAAATAGAAGATAAATCAAGTCTAGACATTTTCTTCGAGTGCTGAAATTAAATAACCAAAAAAATGTTGGGATACATTTACTTTGTTTTTGAATTCCTGATATAAAAACTTCCTATGATTAATAATTATATTTATGTGTTTCACTTGTCTTAATACATTGAGTGAACAAATTTTCAGGTTTTAAACTAAGTAAATAAAATTACAGATACATATAACAATCAAAAGTATAAACTGAAAATAATTTTAACTGCTGTTTATATTTACCAGAGTAAATATAATAATAAGTATATTTCAATGATAATTAAGATAAGGTTATATTTATACTTAACAAATTAAACAAATAGAATAAAAACCATAAATATTTAAATATTTTTGCTGTCTTTGGTTTATAAACTTTTGAACTATTTTTCAATAAGCATTGCAAGACAAATGAAATACATTTAACAAAATATACACTAAAATTGACATGAATACATTTTGTATAAACTCACCATGCCATGTATACATCTAGCAAGTGAAATACACAGCTTATTTGAAACGGTTGGCAAAAGCATTTGTAAGCTCATTGACAGCTACTTGTGCCACAGCTTGGCCGACCGCTTGTTGTACACGTTGCGGTATTTGTGGCATTGATCCTCGCCTGTTACCGCCAATACCATGATAATAATATGAATATATAACTCGCGCATGGCCATTATTTAATGATTACAGACATTTCTTATTGTTAATATAATTGTTTTTTATACGATATAATAAAATGTTTAAATAAATATCAAAATCTATTTGTACCATAAACCCATTGGTATAACATAAATAAATTAGTTTAAAACTGACACCAACATTATTACCAGCAAAAGCATGTTTTGATAAATTATTATTAAAATAATATATGTAAATATGAATATATATTTAAATAAATTTTAACTGGATTATAAGCATTGAATAATATGGTGATTGCTGAATTTAGTAACATTAATATAAGTGCTTTTAATTATAATTACGTCTAGAAAAAATAAAATTTTATTGTTATTAGTTGGTTTATCTAAATATTTTAVTATCTAGTTTTATTCATAGTCAAGAAAAATTTTATTTCATGCATTGAAAATGCAATTTTAATTGCTACATAATATTATAAATTGTATCAATTATTTATTATTACTATTCTGATTATATTTCCAATTCATAAATTACCAATATCATGATATTTTATGGTTTATAGTATTGAAAAGTTATTCGTTTATTATTAAAAAATCATAATATTATAGTGTAGGGGACACATCTTTAATTTTCATATTTGAAAATATCAAAAATTAAGTAAATAAATAGTATTTTCAACATAATAAAAATGATCCAGATAAACTTTTTGAAGTATTAAGTAAAGCAAACCCTAGTTTAGAATGCTAAAACTTTTTCTTGACTATGCAACTAGAAAACATATAATGATGAGCTTAAACATTAAATAATTTCTAACCAAATTTATTATCATTTCTTAAATTGTTTTAATTATAATAAATAAATAACAATGTACATGGTCTAATATTTTGTTAATTATGAGCTAACAAAATAAAATAGTAGACAATATACCTTAAAATAGTCGAATAATATTTAATATACCTAATTCACAATCACTACCAATAATAATTGTTAAATGGTGACTGTGAGTATATTCCTAATATAGGAAATAATTATAAATTATAAAAATTAATACTTAAAGACTTACAAACTGTGAATTATTTAACAAATATTAGGTAACATACCTAGGTAAATAACATCTAATTACCTAACTATACTGATGTGCTAACCTAGACAATGAGATTAACCAACATAACGAATACAAAACAAATATATATATATATATATATATAAGTAAATATTTTTTTTATAACAAATAAATAATAAAAATACTATTATTAATCATTCAAATTGAAAGAAATAAAACAATGGACTAAATTTAGCTTACTCTGGCTTCAATTTAATGTGTATAGGTTAGTTGGTTATGAATATAGTGATTATTATTAATGAAGTTGCAGATTTAATCGGCCACCGAAGACATGCTCGACAATACATATTAACGGCGTCTGAAATGTAAAAAAACCACACCGTCGCCGTTGCTGCCTTTTACACTAAATGTTAATAGCTCAAACTAACTACATGTTAGTGAGTACTATCATTAAGTACATAGCTAACTAGCTAATAATTGTTAGTAAAGCTAGTAGTTAGCTACGCACAATAATAACTAATTTTAATAAATATATGATTGACAGAACTATATAATAATAGATTYAATTAATGGGAATTTCTATGAGCTGTAAAATCATAAATGTTTAAAGTAATTAAATGCCCAAATTGACTTACGAAGGAATTAAAGGAGGAGGAAGTCCCTGGCCACCAGGCCTACCAGGTGGAGCAGGAGGTTGTCGTCCCTGTTCAGGTCCAGGTCTGTTGGGTATCGCTGGAGCTGGTCTTCCTGAAGCTGGAGGTGGTGGAGGTGCTCTTGATGCGGCATTTGCAGGTGTCGGGTTGGAAGGCACTCCTCTACGTCCAGCACCACCGGGGCTTGGTGGAGACAACCTAAACAATTACAAAAAAATATAGAATAAAAACTTTATTAATATATATATATATATATATATATATATAAATAATATATAACAAATATACCTCGGGTTATCAAGACTAGATGCAAGCCAATCATTCTTGACTGGTGGCGGAACAGGTGTGGTAACAGTAGCCATTGATACATCACCAATAATTCTCAATGCTTCTTTACATGCTTGGTACATGCGCATCATTTCCTCACGTTTTACAGCTTCTTCTGCACTTTCTTCCATCATTTGAGACTTAAATACAAAATTTACTGATTTAGTCTTAAAATTCATTCATTATTTAAATCAAATAATAAATTAATAACTATTTATTAATTTAAAGAAACATTAAAATAAAAAAATTTGTTTTTCAAAGTATTATTAAATGCTAAACCATTGTAGTCGGAAATTAAAAATTATTATGCCAAAATCCAATTTAAAAAAAAAATATATAATATTTAAAGAGATATTGGTAAAAATAAACAAAAAACTAAAATTACTGTGCAACGTCACTGGACTGAGCATGATCGCCTATCTTACGCATGTAAGCTGTTGAGTGAAACAAGCAATATTTACACTAATGAGATAAGCAATTACCGTAAGCCTGGCACAATAACATCACACAGCTTTTTCAATTCTTCATAAGTCATTGAATAATTATGTAAGTAGAAGCTTTTTATTGTATGCTATTATTCTTAAATTCAACATTTTTTCAAATTAAAAAACTGATTTTTGTATTTATTGCTCTATAGAYGATAATAACAAGTATATTGTAATGTATAAAGTGTAATTTAATTATTAGAATTTWTTTTTWAAATAAATTCGGTACCTATCAAAAATTAAAGCTACTTTTTTGTTGAAAATAACCAAGAATTATGTATAGATTAGTACTTTCAGATAGTTTAGCCATTATGAAGAACTGCAATTTGTTGTTATCTTACAAATGCATGAAAAGCTAATTTGTGTTCAGTAGAATCAATTTTAAATTTTATACTTTGATATTAGAGCAAATTGACCTATTATTAAACACAATATTATGTTCTACCACTGATAAATATTTGTTTTTCATTTGAAATTATTTTAATAAAATTATAATAGTAAACATATTCAAATTTTGTATAAGAATCAATGTACAAACATAATGTTTATCTTATCTTTAAGTTTGATAATGATCAATTCACTCAGATATTATTATTTAAAACCAACAACATAATATTGGTTGTACTAAACACACTCTTTTATGTTGTATATTAGTAAGACAAAAACATGATATGTAGGTATAGAGTCCACTTCATACAGATGAATACTGTCAGATAACTTATATGTTCATTAGAATGGTATCACACTATCAAGTATGTTCTCAATCTACTTTCTTCCAACAGAACACTGGAGTTGACATATAAAAATAACTATGATACATGAATGAATGTTTGCTAACACTCTATTGGGTCATGTGGGACAAATACTTTCTTCTATGAACATTTTCATTTTAATAAATGATGGAAATAAAATTTCTTAAATTGTGCTTTGTACAACTGTTATTAAAATACTTAAGTATGTTCTTAATGATTTGAGGTAATTTATATTGAATCAGCATTATTTTGTTTGCCTTTATGCTGGTTATAACATTATTTGATAAATTATTACCCAGTATGAGAGTATGACCATTTAATAACAATATTCATTATAACTACTATATTTTTTATCAAAATCTAAAAAATAAATCATATAAAAAACAAGAAAATACACTTAAAATAATTTTATCATTATAAATAAATTAAGATATCGTATATATTTAGAATATTTTTATCCTTCAAGACAAATTATGAAGACAAAATACAAAGGGACTGAGAGAAAATTTATTAACTATGTATTGATAGGGTTACTATTGAGCATTTAAGCGATCATGGCATTGTTAAATATCTTTTTTTTATTATTTAGGTATTAAAAATTAGAAATAAACAAAAATATTGAGAACTAATTTAGTTTTGGACGGTGCTCWTACAAATTATCCAACAACAACTATACCATTTAGCAGGGATGGCAAATCTATGGCACGAGTACCCAAGGCAACACGCAAACAATTAAAATATTTTTATCACATATACATTTTGGCTATATTATAAAATATAATAAAGCATTTGTATTGATTTACTGCAATAGTGATCTGCGAATTCAGGGAAAGTAACCTCTATCTATCTAAAACGTAATTTTTGGCATGTAACGTTCAAATCATTTGCCACCCCTGCTATATATTATAGAATCTAGTATCTACTGTGTTAATATATTAAAACAAATAGTTGCAACATTTAACAAATTTAACAATATACAATATACATAAAATACCTGATCACCAGATGCGTATAGATGAGCTAATAATTCTCCATTAATAAAATCTTTTGAGTTGTTAATGATCAAATGCATAATTATTTTAGGGACTAGATCTCTACAAGATTTTGTTACAATTTTCATATATGAATCAACTAAATTTCTTATAGTCTCCACYTGTCTTTCCAAAACTGGATCCATAGATGTAGTCGATTCTGTACTGCTCTATAATAGTAAAATGTTAAGTTGATAAATATTTTATAAAATGTTACTGAGATATAAAAATCTGACACTAACCTCACGACCATCCTGATCGAAAGGCAAAAAAAAGATTAATTAAAAATATACACATAAAGTCAAATATCAGTTAACACAATTTTACCTCATCACTATTAGATACATCTGATGACTTTTCTGGATAAACACCTGCGCGTAAAAATGATGCCTTCCAAGAATCTACATCATCTTGTGTTTCACAACTTAATTCAAGCTGTTTGTAGTCCTAAATAAATATATTTATGTAATTAACAAAATGTTAGAAACCAATTCTCCACTGATCTTTTGAAAAAAGTTAAATACAATAATAAATTGTGATACTTATTGCCATTCATAAAATAATGGGTAAAATAATAATAATTTATTATTGATTATAATTTAGAACAAAAATTACTATGACATGAATTTTCAAATGAATTAAAAACCAGTGGAGAGTAGGCTTAATATTATACATAATTCAATTCAAAATTCACCTTGTAAACATTACGGCCTTCTGGATTAAACAATGCAAATGTATGACGGCGAGACATAAAACCTTGTTCAACATCTTTAATTTTCAATCCATCTAATGGTAACATGTACTTTTTTTCTCTTTCCTTCAAAAGTAATAATTTTTTATTTTCATAAAATATGATACAAAAAATAATTATTAAATTTAAGTACATGCCTCTTCATCTTTGAACCATGAGATGTTTTCAGACATTAACACAAACCAATAATCCCTAGATCCTCCTTTCATGATGCCCAAATTGTGTATACACATCCAACCTTTACGTATCACTTGATTACCAAGCTTATGAGTTTTATTAGAATTATCAGAAGACTGTTGTGCACTGCAAGACAATATTATATTACATAATAAATTAATAATATTCATAACTGTTGTTACACACTTTGCAAATCCAATGAAATCTTCATGATTTGTATTCATGTAAGCAAGTTCACATTCAACCAAAAGGATTAACTGTTCTTTACACATTTGTTCACGATTACGAATGTATGATGTAATGATTCGTTCTGTTTCTTCTCGTAAACGTGGATACCTAGACATCTATATTATAAAAAATAAATATTTCATGAAACAATTTTACACAAATCAAGTAAATAAATATATATAATATACATACCTTGTCTGTACAAATTCTAACTACGTTAGATAGTTCATTAACAACAAGATCAGTACATTTCAATGATGGTTCTTTCAACCTAGCAATTTGTTTTTTTACAATAGCTTCAAACGCCATATCAGGTGTGAATAAACCCACTCTTATACCTATAAGAAATATTTACATATATTATATATTTATGAATGTTAAGTATCTYATTGTGGTGTATTACACACCATGAATGTTTCTAATTGCAAATGCTATTTCCCTCCTTAATTCTTTTTCATCAATTTCCATTTTCACAATCTCGAATGGGAACCGCTCATGGAACAAACGATTAATTTTAGCACCTCCAGATAGTTCATTGGTATTTATCTGAGCAGAACCAGAACCTTCAATTGTGCGTTCAAAATCTGATTGAAGTTGTTGAATCATTCTAAATTCATGAGAATATAATAAACAAACCATAGTGTATGAATAAATAACTCAAAACGTCTTACTGTAACATTGCTTTGGTTTTAATAGCTGGATCATCTGGCCTAAAGTATTTAAACTGTTCGACATCTTTTTCTAACGTAAGTAATTGTTTCTAAAAGTAATCATATTATAAGTTATGATGAACTTTACAAAAATAAAATAAAACATACTTGTAATTTATCCCTAAGACCTGGCAATGTATCTCTAATATGATTTGTGAGCTGTTGATTCAAAACTCTTTGCAAATATGGTGTACCAAGTCTGTCGGCCATATGTCTATAAGATGGATGTCTAAACAGCAAAATTTTAATTTAGGTAGATTAGCTCTTCTGGATTTAAATTTTAAACAATACACAAAATATTCAATATACCCCAAGAAGAATTTTCTTTCTGCACTCAAAGCAGCTTTAATATCTTTACGGCCATCRATATCTTTCTGACTTCTATTTACTACACCAATGTAACCACGCCTGAGAGGCAAAAGCTTATTTTCCAGTATGTCTCTCGCATCAGTTCCTTCGTCCATCAGGTCCAATTTTGTTATGACACCAATAGTTCGCATACCTAAGAAATTAATATTATATGTTTTAATAATATACAAATCARATATGGTGAATAAGTGCATAAAACTAATTTCAATAACAACATATTTAATTTTAAACTTAAAATAAAATATTCAACTTAAAATATGAACATGCTTTATTAAAATTAATTTAGGTCGATGGTTGCAATGGTTCAAAAATCATAGTGGATGTAATTATTTATTGTTAATGGGAAAATAATAATGCATAAATCTAWAGTAATAATGTAATAAAGTAGGATTTATGATTTTATACATAGCATGCAATTTCACTACCATACATGATACATGTCTAAATAATCACATTTATAAGCGTGTGATAGATAACTTATAAAATCAATTAATATTTTAAAAATTACATAATGAACCTAACAATGAGAATGATAATTCTTAATCAAATATTACTAATGCTTAAAATTTTAACTAGGTATTCATCATTTTAAAATCATTAAATATCCAAATAAAGTGTACAACCTGATAAAGAATGCAATATATCAAAAACTCGCCACACCAATATAGGAATAAAATGATATAAATCTGATTGGTTTTATATTAATATTTTAGTTGGGTATTCCGTTCATAATTTTTTTAAATAAATAATCAATTTATACTGATTATGTTTATACAGTAAGAACAGATTATTTAAGAATTTATTAATACACAATATTAAGTAGGTAGGTAGATGGAAAATCTTATTATTTCTTACCTTCAGGGTCAACTTCTTTAGAAATTTTTAATGCATCACTGTTGGCCAAATCTTGGTTAGCTGGTGTTACAGCCAAAATTAGGCAATTATCTCGTTTAACAAAAGTGAATAACATTGATCTTATTTGTTGCTCTATGTCAGGAGGCTGGTCCCCAACAGGTACTTTGGTCATACCAGGCAAATCAACAAGGGTCAGGTTCAACACTGGAAAATAATACTAGCAAAACTACACAACGGCCACGAATAAAATCAACAATGTTGAGGAGTGTATAACTTGTTCCCTAGGCCTATACCTTGATTTATAATGAATCTTTAATGATAATTTCAATACTATTTTAGATTTTAATCAGAATAAAACCATTAGATTGGTAAGACATTTTTTTCTTATGTTTGAAGAAACAAAAAAACTTTTAAGCAAAGTACAAAGAATATTCTAAGGAAAACTAAAAAAACTACTTAATTGCTAATAGCATGACTTGGTGCAATATTTCAGATCAGGCTACTGGTCGATTAACGTTTACCGTCTGGGTCAACTTGTTTTGAAATTTGTAAAGCATCTGAAGTAGCCAAATCAGCATTAGCTGGTGAAACAGCTAGTATAAGACATGTTTCTTTTGTGATAAATTGGAACAGCATTTCTTTGATTTGTTGTTCAATGTCAGGTGGTTGATCACCCACTGGCACTTTTGTCAAGCCAGGCAAGTCGATCATTGTGATGTTTAAAACTGTTTACACATGTTATAAATAATAACCACAATAAAATGGTATGGTTTTTAAACAATATATTATAATTCAGTTTCAAAACTACTGAATAAAACTMAAAGTTTTGAAATCATAATAAATAGTTTAATACTATCATCTATTTGATATTTTATTTTTCAAATACCAAATAATCATTGTTTAAAATTTTTAAGTATTAATTAATTGGTATAATATGTTATAAACATAATTTAAAGAAATTAAAGATGTAAATTTTTTTTTAATAGTTTCTAGGTATATTATACAATAATAAAAATTAAATTAAATTTCTTCTAATCAAATTCTTTAAATTATCTTAATGGTAATGGATTAATATATTACATAATTTACTTACCATTAGGAGAATATACCCTCAAATTTATTGGTATATTAGAAATGCCTTTATTAGATCCAGTCATACGATCAGTTTCATTTTCTATTTCACGCCTAATTTCTTCAAAATCTGTAAACTTCTTTCCTTTGCAATGAAGAAATTCTCCATATTCTGGAAAATCAAAACACAATTATAGTGATGAACAACATAGGTACCTAATTAAATAGGCGCTAAATGTAAATCTCAGTTTAGTTCATTTCTTAACAAGTTTAATTTAATTTTATAATACAAATTGAATATATAAATATGGTTGATTTTGTTTAAAATAACTTAACAAATAAAAATATATTTTAACAAGCTATAATGAAGGTTAGAAATGAATAAAATTGCTTTTATTAATGATGTCAAAAAGTAAATGATTTTAATAAGTGGGATGTAATAGATGTTAAATGGTACTTAAAAAAGGTCATAATTTATTAAAAATGTATTATTAAAATGTTTTAATGTTAAATAATTCAAACATAAGATGAGTATTATTATTACGTACAAACTGTCATGTTTGTTTAGATTAAAAATGTATTTTCTATAAGTATATCATCAATGGAAGGTTATCCGATTGATTAGATCAAGTTTGAAAACAGAAAGGTATTGTTCAAACTCAGTTATAAAACAAAAATCTTAGCATTTTACATGATTTCAAATTTAACTTACCCAATGTACTATTAATCAACTGAAGAATAAGAGGACGACGAGTTACAATTCCGGAACCTCTTGGAAGAAAATCCCTAAAAAAAGAATGTTGTAAATAAAAATGTATGTATAAAACAACTAAAATATAGAGCATTTTCACTCATTTTTGAGGAATGAGCATAGACATTTGTACCTAATAACATAAAATATGTTTACATTTTAAACAAAAGTACTAGATAGTTAATATCAGTTTTTGGAAAGAACGTTGTTCATGAAAGCACATTCATAGTTAGTGAACATCACTTGTTTTTTTCCAACRTGAATAACATTTATATTTTTAATGAATTTTAATGATTTTTAAGATGCTAAATTTATTTACTATTTAATAAATATATGTATATAATTTAGATACTTTAGAAAATGTATATGGTCTAAAGAAGTGGTCAGCACCTTTTTTAGACTCCCGGGCCATATTCATAAATTAAAAAAAGTTTGCGGGCCAGACAAAAATAAAAATTTTATATTCCAAATTATTTACTAAGAAAAAAAAATTAATTGTTTAAATATATTTATACAGTATGATTTTTTTTGATATGATATTCAATTAAATTTTGTTATTGTAGAATTTAAAGCGGGCCGTATTCAATACTCGCGGGCTGGATGCGGCCCGCCGGTTGCCGACCACTGGTCTAAAGTCTAATATGAGTTTWTATTTTTGGTTTGAGTCCTACATTATTTTTATGGATTTTTATATAAGCTACTGGTAAACTATTCATAAGCAAAAAATAAGATGAACGACCTATTGAACGCGTTCGTTTTTTCAAAGAACGTGAACACGTTGATTTGAAAAAAAACATGAACCTGAACGAGTTCTTTTTTATAAGGAATAAACGTGAACAAATTCATTTTTTAAGTAAATGTTCTAAAAATTGGTTAATAGTCATTCAAAATGTAACTTATGATTTATATTTTGTAGAGCGTTAGAAGATTGACTACTAAAATAAAAAGTATCRTAGTTGGCATTGATTGGCACACACACTAATTACACGTAGGTACCTAACAAGATTGGCACTAAAGAATAGTATGTAAAATAACTGGCATATCAAATTAAAACAATATTGTTTATATTATTGTTCCTAATCAATAGTACCTAAACTTTATTTGAAATTTTGAAATATTTTGACTGTTTTAATTAGAAAGTGGATTATTGAAATAAGGTAATATAAAAAGTTACACATGAGTAAATATGGAGCACCATATTAATTTATATAAAAAAAAAAACAATTTACCAAAATTTCTAGTAGTGAATCAGAATATATATTACTAGATTTCTCTTTATTAAATAGGTAAAGTAGGTGGGGATAAATATAATAAACTACCATGATTAAAATGTAGGTACAATGAGAAACCAACCTACAAAACTACAAAATAATATAGATACCTACCTACCTATAATATTTAATGTATTTTTAATAATAAAGCATTGAATCTAACAACTATTGCCTATAAAATAGATTTACTACTATTATGCTTAATTAAGATGTAAAAACATTAAAAACATTTTTGGAAAATACATATTATCATCCGAACATCTACTGAGGGATAATATGAATCTAGGTTAATACATTTTAWAATTCATAATAAGATTAGTTAAAATGTTTAAAACAAAATATAAAACCTAATATATTTAAATGTGAACCTATTTCTAACTATTTTTCATAGTGCAAAATTTTATCAAATTCATAAAATATATTTATTCTTATTTGCTGTACAATTGTACTAATGCATTTTTTTTTTTAAATAGACTAGATACCTATATTTTTAGTTTATATCTTAAAATTTAACAGTCGACTGATTATTTATATATATTTTTACTAATTCATTCAAGTTTTCAACTTTATTTTTAACATGGTCAGTAGATGTTTTGTTAAAAAAAATGTCATGTGTTTATCATCACACCTTAAATAATCAATAATCATTGTTGTTATTAAAGCCATTAACAGTTTAATTATGCATTTGTGTATGAAATAGAAAAAAAATAGCTCATAATCTAAACTATAAGCTGCTTTAGGTATAGTAAAATTATATCGTCTAGGTCTGTGCACCTCGAAAGTCGAAAATTGATTAGTTAYTGTAATTACTATTATCCGAGAATTTAGAGTTGTTCAAATCAAAATATCTTCAAATATATTGTTTTATATAATTCTCATGTTACAGAATAAGTTACAAATTAATAGTCAATCAATTAATTAAATGTACCTACTTAAGTTAATAATTACAAGAACACTATTATTCTGGTAGTATAGGTACTCTTTATGCTACAAATAAATTAAATGGATACAAAGTTATCATTAGTTTAGATTATAAATGATCAATTACAGTTATAGTCAAAGTACCTAAACGTTTGAAACAAACGTATATTACAATTAAAAATATTTAACAACCAATGTGAAACATACTACATATTTAAATATCAACTGATAAACTTCAATCAGTAAATAAAATTACCCATATCCAACTGCCACAATGAGGTATGTACCTGATTTAAATATTACATCAATAAGCATGTATCTACATTTAATAAATACTCTAAGGGTATTTACATATCCATCTAATCTATCTCTGTAATTCATATGGGCCAGCATCCAAATAATGAAACCTCATAGTTACGTCCCTATCATGTGGTTCCTGAATTTATATTCAACTGACTCTGATCTCATTTATGTTTCAATGAACGGATATTAAGATAATACTCAAATAATCTATACAAGAAATAAGATAAATGATAATTGTAAAATTATTATGTGTGTAAATACAGAGGTAAACATGAAACTGATATTGACCATAAGTACATCATTTGACATCACTTGAAATGAGACGACAAGGACGCTGTTGAACATTGTGCAGGTGTAACGGACAGATTTTGGATCCGTTTTAGAACAGATATTGGATAGACAGTAGACAAACATCAGATCTCTAACATTGTCAATTTTTAAATATTTTTTAAATGTATTATTCATTAAAACACTGAACACGAATCGAAACACTRAATCGAACAAAAATAGCATTCTGGCAGTCGGATACGGGCAAGTAATGTACATTGGCGAACCCAAATCATCGACGAATATCGCGTTTTGCTTTACCTTCCCACAAAGTTCTCCAGCACGGAACTTTTACCAGCGCTCTGGCCACCGACCACCGCAATCTGTGGCAAGTCCAGCTGCATGTGCACGCCCAGCTGGGTGAACGCATCTTGAAGCTTGTTCACGATGGGTATCAACTGTTCCATGCCCATGTTGCCGGCCATCGCGGACAGCGACGAAGAGCTAAAGGTAGTGTAGTGGACGTATGTTTCTCACCGGAGACGACGACGATTCAACGTCGGACTCTTAATTATTTTAAAACGCTACACCTGCTGCACGATATCTCGCGGCGGTGACGTTAACGTTAACGGCGACGGCGACGACGACGACGACGACGGCGGCAGCGACGACACACGCACTACACACAATCACGTCTGACACCGTCCGCTGGACAATAAACGTCACCACTGGCAGCAGCAGAAGCAAAACATACGGACGGTCGACGGAAGCGATCGTTCGTACGGATACGGATGATTGTGCGTGTGCGCGCGCGCTCTGTGCGTGAGTGTGTTTGGGCGTGTGTGTATGTGTATGAGCGCGCGGCGGCAAGTGGCAACGATTACAGTCAAACGGTCAGGCTCTCTCGGATTCCGACGAATGACACCGACCGGGTACGAGCGGCGCGGAGTGCGACTGCCGGTCGACGGGCCGCTGTTCGGCACCCGAGCGCGCCCGAATTCAAACGAACCCCGCGCTGCGACCCAAACGCTACGAAGTCCGGAACACTTCTGACGCTCAAACAACCCTAGCGGAGACGGTTGGCCGCGCGGACCTGGGGCGTGCGGCCGTCGTCCCGGAACGTACCAAAGGGTTAGAATTATGTGATACACGAATCGCYTTATTTTCACCTGGCAAAATACCCAAAACGGAAGATCCCGAAAGTAAAACGTTTCGAAACGGGAAGAGGAACACCGTCGAATACGACGTCAGGTTTTGAGTCCGAGATC